CGAATCACCACGGAACTTGGAACCCCCAGCATTGGAATATACAGCGACTCGATGGCGGCACTGCAGACACTGACTAACCCTCATTCCCTCCATCACCTAGCAGTGGGATCGCGTCAAAATCTGAAGAAAGCTATGAAACAGAATAAGCATGTAGGTCTATTCTGGATAAAAGTCCACGCAGGATTGGAGGGTAAAGAGCGGGCAGATCAGCTCGCCAAAGAGGCCGCTCTAGGGTCTAAACGAAGGCACGACTACAACCTCTGCCTGGTTTCATTGGCGTCATTTTAGACGAATGGAACCAAAGGTACCAGAATGGTGAGACGGCTGCTGTCACAAAAATGTTTTTTCCCGATGCGGTGGCGGCACATAAAACTGTTAGGAAATTGGAACTCACCAGCATAATAACCCAAGTAATGACAGGACATGGCGTGTTCTCTGAGTACTTGAATCGCTTCAAGCGCAAGGAGGACCTGTCGTGCATTTGCGAACCTGCCACACCCGAAACCGACTCCCAAATTCTGTTAGAGTGTCCGATGTTCGCCTACGAGAGATATAAAATCGAATCCAAAATGGAATCCAAGATGGTCATAGAAAATATAAGTACACTGTTACAAAGTAAATTTAAGGATATCTTATTACAATTCTATACTAATGTAGCTCATAAGGTAATTAATCGTAATAAAACTGCTTAAGAAAATGCAAATATTGTTATATTTCGTAAAACATATTGTCCTACAAAATAGTAAAAACAGAAAGTAGGAAATGTAACATATATAAAAGTAGATCATAAGAAGTCACAAAACATGTACTACATTTAAGAAAGCATTTTAATAGTGAATATGTAATTAAGTTAATGAAAGTAATAGTAAGTAAGTGAAAAAAAAGAAACAGAAATAGTATTAGGCAAGCAAGATGAACACCCACTAGATGTAAGAAATAAAAATATAAAATCACCCGAAGTGACGAAAGAGCCCTGCACTATTGTATCGGCTCCGGAGCAATTTTGAAAAGCAAATGATTAATTATTGCAGACATATATATTGCGCCAAATAACGTCTCTACTAATAGTAGAAGATCCCTAGCGAAATATACATAAAAAAAATGTCATCAGGTTTCTGTAGTACATCGAGTATATAACCAGAAATACATAGAGACGAAATGTCACTTAATTTGTTTGAAAACTATTCCGTCAAATTATTACGATGACAACTGCGTTCCGATTAGCTAGCCCGAATTCGAAACAATTGACGGGTGTCGTCAATTGTTTCACTTGAAATCGACCAGTTTAACTTGAGCTTTGCTATAATGGAAAAAAAATTAAAAATTACATATGAAATGTGATTCCGTTTGTTGTGTAATTAGATGTTTTGCTATTTTTCCCACACCACCAAATCGAACAGCCCGTCATTGTTAGATATATTATCTTTATTACAATAAATACAGAATATTTTTGGAATATACGGAGACGTACATACAAGTCAGTTATTGGCACTGTACTATTTCAGCTTTCTAATTTGTGATTTTAGCTCAAACGAGAGTTGATATTTAAAAGTGATATAAGGCCCATTTGCCTGATGAATTGCCAGGGATGGACGGCCCTTATTTCGTCTCCATTTCTGGTTATATACTCGATGCTGTAGTATAACAAATTTCACCTAAGTGAAAGTAAAATAAACATTGAGTGAGATACCTACTCTAACTGGGAAAAACTGATGATCTTCAAAAAAGTGAATAGATGATCTTCAAATACAGCTAAGAACTGTTAGGGTTTCTTAGTAAACATAGAAATGAGACTCCTATGACTGCTATAAGTTATATTATAAGAGCTTTTCAAAGTCGCAATATCGATGGTCTTTGTATCGAAAACGTTACATCGATTCGTCGTTACAGCGACAGTTTGTTAAATCAACGGTACGCGATAACGACATGGCACTATATCGAAGGTCTTTACATCGACGTGCGTTATGTCGATGGTACTGTACTTCGACGTTCGTTATGTCGATGGTACTGTACATCGACGTTACGCTACATCGATAGTACTGTATATCGATGGTACGCTACATCGGTGGTAGCTGTACACCGAGATTATTATATCGACCATACATCCATCGATGGTACACTACGTACAGTATATCAATTACATAAATACACAAAGCCTCCGAAACCAACAAATTCACATATTGTTTTAGGAAGGAGTAGGGTCAAATTTAACCAAGTTCCGGCGCAAAAGAAACATATCTTACAATTGTGCTTATAATAGGTAAGTAAATTCCGTATAATTTTTGTTTATGATATACTGATATCCACTGGCCACTACGCAGGCAATATAGACATGTTAGCCACTGGGCTAACATGTCTATATTGCGTTTGTTTTTACTCTGCTACAATAGGATTAGGTAATGTCGTATAAACAAAAGCCTACCACAGCTTTTGTTCTCTATTGTTAAAAAACTAATCTATGGAACATTGACATGGAAGTATAAAGTGACCAATCAGAGTAGGAATAATATAGTAAAATGAAGAAAATAGATATAAAAAACAATCATTACGAGTAGAAAAGTTTTTTTTGCATTATATTCTTGTACTTACTTTGTATGTAGCTTGAATGTAGTTATGGCCTGCGACATTTGCTTTTAATGGGCGGAAAACTGAAACTTAATCGTTCTAAAATCATTAATAAAACTTTTTTTAAATAATTAAACCAATACTGTAACGGGTTTCAGGGGACGTGGCATACAGTATTGGCTTAATTATTATTTTTCTATTAAAGGGTATAGAAAAATAAGACCAAAGAAAAATTCATCTTGTGTAGTTGAGACGTATAACGAAAGCATTGCAGTGACGTGATGAGTGATATAATGAATGGAAGTATAAAAGGGTTACTGACTTAAATGCACGTTAAATGCTACTGTTGTCACTTCACGTACTTATTAAACATTTTTAACGTAAAAAGGAGGAGGTTATCGATTAGGCTGTATTTTTTTGTGTATGTTTTACGCGATTACTCCGGAGTGCAACGTCCGGCATTTGTGAACATTGTTCTTTTTTGTTGGAAGGGGATACTTTAGTAGTAGTTCCATTCATATTTGAAGAAAATATTCCACCTCCATGGGTGGCAAATTAGGGGATGAATCCGGTTTGTTGGATTTCAACCACTATCCGCCAACCGATTACAATAAAATTTGGTAACACAGTGAAAGCGTATAAACAAACTTTTGAGCAAGGTTTTTTTTAATAAAACAGTTACAATTATTAACAAGTTGTAATAATATCTTTTTGAATATGGTTTTTAATCACGTCGGTGCCCCTTTAGCACTGTGGGCGCTATTTTGTAGAGGTTCAGGGCACTTTAATTCGCATTATGAACAATTTGGGAATGTAATTATTTTAAATTGTTTCTGGCCTGAGTGTTTTGCGAAATGTACAAGGTAATAATACAAGGAATTCCCAAGTATGACACCAGATGGAATATTGTTATTACATCGTGGATATACGAGTTGTGCATGCAATAATATTAAAAAATATCAACGTATTATCATCACGGACAAACTACGCTCGTACAGTTCCATCAGTTTTATCAGTATAAAGCTGTTTTTTTAAATTTATTTTATGTGAAGTAGGAGGTAAACTAGCAGACAAGCCACTTGTAGAGTAGTCATCGTGGCCCATGGACATTTGTAACATCAGATGAGAGCCTTGTCGACACGCTTTTTGAAGAACCACATATCACAGCCCAAAGGTTTTTATTTTAATTTTAAAAGTGATGGGACGAACAAGTCGTGCGCCTGGTGGTAAGCCACACGTCCATAACAGTTGCAGTGCCACTTAGAGCTTTAAATCGCGAAGCTCAGATCTTCTCAGGGTCAGGGCTCTGCCACTGCGCCCGTCACCCAGAGACATAAGTTGACAAGTCCCACGTCACTATAGTTTCATCAGCACCCTTAACCCTTCAAAGCCAAAACATAGTAATGCAGACATTAATGCTTGGCAGCAGAAATAGGTAAAATGGCAGTACTTCCCTGGATGAACTCTTTCACAAAGAGCTCTTCTACTACTAAAGTACTTCAGGAGTAATGATACTTCACAGTAGACATAGAAATAAGACTCCAGTGACTGTTATAAATTATATTATAATATGTTTTCACTATATATCCAAACAAAACGTAACCACGTCTTTTCTTGTCAAATTAATATTGAATTTTAACAACTGTATTGTACAATAATGTCCCGCAGACTTAGTTTATTCACCACTGCTAGGGATGGCTGGAAGAGATCTCTTCTAGAGATAAGCTCACCTTTGCATATGTCCTTTGTAGCTTGTAATTTTCGATGTCATTTATTTGTGCAATAAAGAATTATTATTATTCTATTTTTCTCTACGGCAACCGTCCGTCAGTGTTACGTTAATATCCTTTTTTTATTTCTTATTTCGATAATACATAATCGTTAATAAAACAAGAACAAAACTAGTTTTAAATCTCGTTTCTCTTTATACGGCTTTTCGCGACAAGTTTATTTTATAATTCACGCTAAATAAAACTTCATAAGATATTTCTAAACGTAGAACATAATATGAGCCTTCCAAATTATTTCTTTCCAATTTTTCAAATGTTTTCCAATGTTTCGGATTTTTTTCCGGAAATATGTCCACTATTTGAAATTCTTCGGAAGATTACCCAACAGTACGCGTAACATATATACATTCTAAAAACACAGTCGAATTGAGAACCTCCTACTTTTTTTTAAGTCGGTCAAAAAATATTCCATCAAATACAAAAGGATTCACAAAAATCGGTTCATATAAGCAGGTAAAATAACAAAAACACCCGTGCATGTAGGTAATAAAATTATGCTGTAGACCCTTTTTATAAATTGGTAAAAAACTTGCTTGAATTCCGGTACCTCAAAAATGTTTTCAATTGGTATATTTATATTGTCCTTATCCTTGAGCTGTTCAAGTAGTAATACATTTGTTTATTATTTATCACCACGAGTGTGTTGCGCTATCATTCTCATTCTGTGCCCGTCCACGAAAACTGAGTGTCGTGTGTTCAAAATATGGCGCCTCAAATAAAATACACTAAGGTACGATATTTAAATATCAGATACTATTTGAAGGTTAGATTCTTCGTAATTTTGTATTTCACTAAGATTATAATCAAAATAAAACTGACGCCTAACAAACTTTATTGAAAATTTGGTAATACTCATTTTTCTCTTTCTTATTTAAGCTAGTAGGCTCTTGTTGGTAGAGTAATTGGCAACCCACTCTGTTTAGCGCTCTAATTTTAAGTTACGACATCAAGTTTTTAAGTTGTCTGATCTAAATATCTCGTCTCGGTCTTTCTCTGTCTCTCTTACCTTCAATCTTCTTTTCTATAATGTTTCTAAGAAAACTGTCTTGAAGTATCTACACATTAAATGTCCAAAGATCTTTCCGTTTTGGTTCTCCATCGTCTTTTTAACTGCTTATCTTCATACTCGTTACTATAAATAATGATTATTAATGTAGCCGTCACTGATGTTAGTTGATAACATAAAACATGTTTAAGTGTATGCTCTAATAGTTGCACATATACCACAAAAAAAAACTAAATGAAGGTATTTTAATTCCAAACAGTTGTTCATCGACAATGAATGGGTGGACGCCAAGAGCGGAAAAACATTCGATACTTACTACCCTCACGATGGGTCTATCATAGCCAAAGTTGCTGAAGGCGACAAGGTAAGTTTATTGTTTATTATTATAATATATTCTGGTGTTGAACGATAACCTAATTAAATTGATAATGACAGCGCGGCCACAAGTTCAGTTTCAAAATAATAATCTCCAAGATCGAAGAGAAAACAAGGGAAGACGGTGTTGTCCATAGTGAGCAACGTTACCCCATTCTAGGTTGGGGCAAGACTTCGCAGGCTTTCCAAGCGTTATGTACTTTCTTCAACCTGCAGGTCTCATTACGATGTCTTCATTCACCGTTAGCGAGAGGTATAGCCACTAAATATTCATAATTATACTTAAGTATAAGTCACAGGTACATTCCGCCGCAGGTATTCGAACTATTGACCTCGTAATTGAGAGGTTGCTTATCAATTGTGAGGTCGAGGTCTCCCACATTATCAACAAAAAAATACTATTCTAGTTGCGGAAACCAGCCCGTTGCACCAAGTACCAAGTACTATTCTAAAAATACAAACAGTTACAATTCCATATGTTTTGCCAAAATGACCAAAATGTTTTGCCCTACCACCTATACCTATAATCAAGCTGAATAGCCTACTTTCGAAACAATCAAAATATTTCTTATTAAAAGTAAATAAGGTGTCTACTCGCATGCACTGACTGTCATCATGTAGGTACCGACAGCGGAATGATATCATGTTTTTCAATGAACGTTTATTACTCTTACTGCGCATCCTTTTGTTGGTGCCCAATTTATGGTACGTTAGACAGTGATAACAGTGCTCTAAGATAAAGGTGCTCTCCTTGAGCAAGTTCTCTATATACGACTATATTTACTTACCGATGCGGTTTGGCAGTTAACTACAAAATTGTTCGATGTATTTGTTTTTATAGGCATATCCTAAAGTAATATCGTTCGTTAGAAGTTTATGCCCGCCATCACCGACACCGTTGGTGGACAGGATTATATTTTTATGTATTCAAGTAGGTAATCCTCATATATACATTTAATACACTATACACACAATACAAAACAATGACACAATCATTTTTGACGACCTCGGAGACCCATCGGTTTGCAATGTAGGGGCTGAAAGTGGGTTGCCAAGGTGCGACACACTGTGAGACCAAAGAGAAATGAGCTTTTCTAAACTGGTTTTGATCTGCATAATCTGAGTAGTGCCCTAGAGTGAATTTCGTTGTTTCGATACTCATCACGGCGAATTTCCTGGTTAGTTATCACGCCGCCTGGCATACGCCACAGAACAATTGGTGTCGTTGTCTGGCACAGTATGTTATGTTTTTATTTTCTCACACCTTTGGCAAGTTTAAACTACTATTGTAGGAGTGGCGAAAATTAAGAGTCGGACGGGCAGCGTAACGGCTTTTATTCAAATCAGCGCAGACAGTGAAAAATATTCCTACACTAAAGACAGAGCACCTCTTATCAAATCAAATCAACACTTTCTCTTAAACTAAACAGTATTACAATTTTACAGTTATTGTTGTTACTCTTATCTTTACAATTGTTATTCTAATTACTATTATCGCTACAACATTATTATTTTTACTATATTCATCGATCAATATTAATTATTAACAATCATAAATAACGAAATTTAGTCGTCACCTATATTATTTACAAAGCAACTCCATCTAGTGGCAGGGTGATGTATTTAATTACACTGTTTAACGGCCTGCAATAGTTGTAGGGACGGTGTCGGTAGATGGGGCCACTAACACTACATTTCAGGACCGAAATCAAGTGAATGCAGTATAGTGTGTATCTACCTATGTCGAGGATGTGATGAGAACTTAATTCTTCTTCTATTTGCATACAATTTTGGACTCTTCTGTTCAGTTCAAATCAGGGCTTCACGAATCCAACTTTTTCCATCTATACATCTTTATGGATAAAAGGTGTTCCATAAAGAAATGTAACTAACTAAACGTAACGTAAATACGTTTGTAGCCAGAAGGCGAACAGTGTAAACTATAGCGTTCACAATTTGTCAACAGGCGGACATAGATCTAGCCGTGGCAGCAGCTAAGCGTGCCTTCCATCGCAACTCCGAATGGAGACTTTACGACGCTTCAAAGAGACGAGAAATCCTCACCAAGTTCGCAGACCTAGTTGCTCGAGACGCATCTTACCTCGCAGAGCTAGAGTCTTACAATAATGGAATGCTCCTGACTATGGCTAACTACATTGTAAATATGTCTGTTGGTGCTGGACAGTATTTAGCCAGCTTAGCTGATAAATATCATGGAGATACTATTCCTCTCGGTAAGAATTTACAACGTACTTGAACATCATTCAAAGTGACATTGAATAAAGTGTTCAATTCACTTAAAAAATAAATGTACAATAGCTTCGAATCCGGCCAGATCGAAGGATTTTTGTCTGAATGTTCGGTCTTTGTATTAATAATTATAACAAATTAGTGGAGTAATTTCACAAAAAATAATTTAATATCAATTTATTTTAATTAAAAATACAGTGAATAGCGACATCTCTTGCCAGGGCTGGTACCTGTAAAGATATCTAACTGGGTGATAAAATTTTCATAGATTTCTCATAGATGGCGCTACGACAAAAAAGTCGTTAAAAAAACCAAATACAAAGATACGACGCAAGCACATAGAAAATTTCGTGAGGTCCGCAGGTTCGTTCCGTGGCTTAGTTGGTATAACATCTGGCACGGTAAGCTAGAAGACGTCGGTTCGAATCCGGCCGGATCGAAGGAATTTCTTTGTATTAACAATTATAACAAACTAGTGGAGTAATTTCTCAAAAAACAATTGAATATCAATTCAATAAAAAATTTAAATGTACAATAGATTGAAATTATAAAATAATACTTATTCTCCTCGTAATATTTTAATAATGTTTTACATGGATGTGAAAAGAGCAAGCATTAGCTTGATCTGTATCTTAAAGTCAATTTAAAATTTATATTTCAGACGGTGAAGCGTTCTCTTACACTCTGAAACAACCAGTCGGTGTTTGTGGTCTTATTCTTCCGTGGAACGGCCCTATTCCAATATTTATCAACAAAGTTGTTACTGCATTGGCTGCTGGTAAAATGCCTAGAACTTCTTAATTGATTTTACATCCTGTAAACTTTACTACATCATTAATACAATCTCATGTAAAACCATGTTTAATTTAATTAATGTAAGAAGTTAATAGTAAAAATCACAAATCAGAATAGTTAAACTAATTAACCTCTGTCACCAAATTACACAATATTTACTTCCCAATAAACCCAGCCAAACCCTCAACACACCCGAAAAACCTAGGCCATCCGAAACCTCAACCAAACTTCTTTAATCTTCAAGGTTGCACCGTAGTAGTCAAGCCCGCAGAGCAGACACCACTGACAGCATTATATTTGGCTTCTTTGCTGAAGGAGGCAGGGATTCCTGCTGGAGTCGTGAATGTTGTACCGGGCTTCGGACCCGGCGCTGGCAGTTCCCTCACTCATCACTCGGATGTCGCTAAGATTTCATTCACTGGTTCTAGAGAGGTAAGATGATTATAAATATTCATTTGCGTTGGCTCAGTAATAAAAAAATAAGGCATTAATTGATTTTACTTGTTTTAGATGTCTTTTTTAATTAGCCTATTATGTCCCACAGCTGGGCAAAGATCTTTCCGCTCAACTTCCACAGACCCCAATTTGAATCAAAGTCAGGCCAGTCCATTACATATGCGTCTGAGTCATCCCGCTATCTCCTTAATCTGTCTCGTCGTCACTGGCTAGAATCTATTTATAATTAAAGAAGTGTAATAGGACCTGAAGATATAAAATTAATGTTCCTATTTGCTGACACAAAAGTTTACTTATTTTACCAAAGAACGAGAATAGAAACAAAAAAGAAATATACCTGGCAATATAATAGGCACAATCCTAAAACACTACATACAATGTAGTAGATATTAAATATTTGCGATGTCCCCGGATGAGTGAAATAATATGTAATTGGTCACAATCAGGTTGGCATGTTAATCCAGCAAGCAGCAGGGGTGAACAACTTGAAGCGGGTCACACTGGAGCTCGGTGGAAAGAGCCCCCTCGTCATTATGAACGATGCAGACTGTGAGTAACAATGAAAGTTTTGTTAATACAAAATCTGTCTTGGACGACCCATAGGGTCGTATTCCAGAAGTCTACTATTGAGTAGACTCAAGATAGACAGACAAGACAAGACAAGATTAGATATTGATAGACTCAAGTCCTGACTTGAGCATTGGCTCTAGTCAGGACTTGAGTATGATTTCAAGCACTGCAAATACGACCCTAATGGCAAGGACTTGAGTATGATTTCTAGTGCTTTAAAAGAGTCGTATTCTAGAACTCTACTCAATGCTCAAGTCAGGATTTGAGTATGGTATAAAGCACTCGAAATCATACTCAAGTCCCTGCCATTAGGGTCGTATTTCCAATGCTTGTATTTCCTGACTTGAGCATTGAGTAGAGTTCTGGAATACGACCCTTAAAGTCATAAGTACGTTTCGACATTCAAATCTATAGGTATGCTTGGAGTCCTCTATATGATATATAAATAAGTTTATCGGAAATGTGTGTTGTGTGTGAGTTTGTACCTTTGGTAAAATTAAGCAGCTTTTATTCTACTTCTACAGTGGATATTGCAGTACCAACTGCAGCTGCTGCAATTTTTAATCTATCCGGGCAAGTGTGTGTTGCTGCATCCAGATTATACGTACAAGCAGATATTTATGACGAGTTCGTAAAGAGAGCTGTCGAGCACGCGAAAAAAATTAATGTTGGAGATCCTACTAAGTCCGATACCACTCAGGGACCACAGGTATTGAGATTTAAAGATTTTAATGTAAATTGAAATGTTGGCAATTGTTCCGACAAACCTTCAGAAATATTAATACCTTTTCAGACGGATGAAGCAACTCTCAATAAAATTCTGGAATACATTGCTTTGGGCAAAAAAGAAGGCGCTAAGCTAATGACTGGTGGCAACCGCATCGGCAAAACTGGTTATTACGTCGAGCCAACAGTCTTCGCAGATGTCAAAGATGACATGACCATTGCAAGGGAAGAGGTAGAATACAAGACTTTTGCTATTTATTCTTGAAGTTAAACTCTTCATCAGTTAATTTTGTATAGTCACGGGAACTTTGCTGTCAGATACATTAGACTTAAGCAATTTTCGTAAGAAAATTTTATTTTTGGAACCGAAAAAAATACTAAATCCCAGAACTTAGGTACTTAATATTTACTTACCGAATTACAGAGGGTATATCATAATATGTTTTTAAAATGATAGAATATTTGCAGTATTTTTAGTAAGGTTTAAACCGATCTTCTTATGGGTGTTATTGTAATTTAATATCTTTATTTCAGATCTTTGGTCCCGTCCAAAGCATTCTGAAGTTTAACACCCTGGAAGAAGTGATCGATCGTGCCAACAATACGAATTATGGATTGGCAGCCGGTATCTTCACCAAGAACGTGAACAATGCGTTACAGTATGCCAAACATGTCGAGGCTGGCAACGTATGGTAAGTTGTTTTTGTGAAGAAATAGTAAATAGTAGCCACAGATGACTGTCGTATCGTGGACATTTATTTTAATCGTTGCACGACTGTCGTGTGTAGCTGTTCCCACTAGATCGTGACGACAATTAATTGGTTCACGGCAACCGTCTTGTCGTTTGCACGACAGAATCTTTTCAAGCTGCGATTATCTGTCGTCACATTTTTATCGCGACGTTTTATTAATCATCTAACGACTGCCGTTCTAGTTCTTCCCATTGTCTTGCACAGTCTGTCGTCGTAACGTCAAAAAAGTCGTGAACGACAGTTAATCGTGTTGTTCTATGTGTGAACAATTTCATTTAAATATACAAGCCACGACACTTTAAACTGCACTACAATCTGTCGTCACGACATAATGGGAACGCGTCGTTACAGTGGAACCATAGTAGAACTATCTTGTTTGGGTTATCTAAATTGGTCTCAACGAGTTATTAGCTAAATAAGCAATCTTTATTGACGTTTTAATTTGACAAGATTTATTCACCTACATAAAATTTCAATATCTTTACAGGATCAATGGCTACTTGATTATTGGGCCTCAGGCACCTTTTGGTGGTTTCAAAGATTCTGGACTTGGACGTGAAAAGTAAGTTTTACACTTTTACACCACGATTACTTACTAAGATAGCTTGTAAAAAACCTTTCTATAACCCATTAAGTCTACTAATGTAGAGTGGAAACGAACTGTTTGGGTTTATGCAATCTATATTTCGTTATTTGGAAACATAGGGTACTGTGTTTGGTTCCTGAAATATAACTCTTCCCCACTCCATTTAAGCTTCAATTCGAGTCTACTTTTATAACACTTGACATTTTTCTTTTGCAGTGGTAAAGACTGCATCGAAGAATACCTGGAAGTGAAAACTGTATCGATCGCACTGCCTAAGAAATTTTAAATGTTAAAAATGTTACAATGAAATGTAATTTTTGAGCTGCACTTTGTATAATGATATTGTTTCTTGTTGTTGAGTACTTGTAGCACAGAGTTTTATATCTTAATACCAAGTATTTATAATTTCTTACGTTATCGTAATAAATAAATAACTTACACTATCATCTTGAGAACAGAAGAAGTAATTAATTTTAACGGGACAGGACTTTGACCTGTTCATACCGTAAGTGGCATAGTGTTGAATTTATTCCTAACAGACGCTGTCACATTAGACGCTTATAGAAGCACTATAGCGCAGCAGTCGCGCGTACGTTTTATCACTAATTAATTGTGACTGCCAGTAAAAGTGACGCGTGAGCATCGAGACATCGACAGTCGCGTTGCCATCATTGCCCCTCGGCGATACTGGTGTTCACACAGTGGCAAAGACCCAGTGTTAGAGATGGGTAATAAAGCTTTCTCTGAGTATCAAAATGAAATTATATATCGATATTCAATATCGGTTTTCGAAATTATATATTTTCTGAAACTATCGCATTCGTTATGCCAAAAGATAACGCAGGTTAGTACAATTCAAGTACTTGAAAGATGCTGAACTCTATCGATGGTTTTAATATCTAGTAGGACAAAAACAATTCCATTGGTTGTATTACCATAAACTGTATAATCTCGCCGGTCATCTAATCGGTGGATATGTATTGGTTCTGGAAGCAAATCATTGATTAAAAGACTCGGTTGTTCTACGATCATTATGAGCTGGCTTGAAATAATAATGGGTCATGGGAGAGGCGAGAGTCATAGTAGCAGTAGAGCTCCTTGTGAAAGAGTTTTTTTTTAATTCCATGCCTGTACTGTATCAGAGACGCAATGTAATTGGCCTACGTTTTGTCTTTGACAGTATGTATAGTGTTGGTGAATTACATGCGAGTGTATTGGGAGTATGTGTGAGAGAAGCGTTTACTGAGAATAGTACAATACTTAGTACCACTTAACACAAAATTTTATTATTTTTTTATTTTCTTTGTGTCTTTCTTTTTTTCTCTTCCTCTTTTTGAGTATCTGTGAGAGGAGAGTTTACAAGAATAGTTATTTGTACTATATATTATTTGTACTAATACTCATTTTTATTTATGTTGTTATAAGTAACTTTTTCTTCCTTTTCTTTCACCCCCTGCCTTTCTTTTTTCCCCCTACTTTTTCTCCTTCCTTTTTTCCTTTTTTGTTATTTTTTTTAGTTCTTCCAGGGAAGTACTGCCACCTTATTTATTTCAGCTGCCAAGAAGTAACGTGAGCATTACTGCGTTTCGATTTCGAAGGGTGCTGTTGAAATTACGGGCACATGACTTGTCTACTTATGTCTCAGAGTGGCGGGCACAGTGGCAGTGCCCCTAAAATCTTTGCGATTAAAAGCTCTGAGTGACACTGCAACTGTTATGTCGCTACACTACTACGTTATACTACTAGGTGCTCGACTTGTTCGCCATCATTGGTATTTAAAAAAAAGTCTAAAATAGATAAATAATAATAAAAATAATAATAATGCATTGGTTTTTGTAATCCATATAGCGAAACGGGGTACTCCGTGGTATCATATTCGAATATTTAATTTTACGGTAAACGCTGTTACTGTCCATTGAAAAGTTATGACGTAGTGATAATTTTGCATAAAATTGTAATGGTGCAACGGTTGCAACGTCTTTAGAACTTGATTTTCGTGGAATTATGTTTACTAATAAATTTAAAATCTTTATAATTGGAGCTTACGACATGGATATCAAGAAAAAAAATTTAAGAACTGAAAATGAGCCACCAGAAATATTTTTGTTTGAACGTGTTTAAAAGTAGCCGAGGGAAACAAAGTAAGACGACTGTATAATACTCTTGTGAAGTGTCTGGTTTTTTCATAATAATCACGGGGTACCTACATCACGCGGGGTCGTTATGTATGTACTCAACTGTGGAATAATATCATATTTTTCAATAAACTTTTATCCCATAAATGCGCGTGTTATTGATGATAATACATCTCTTTGCTCACCTGAACATAATTCTCTACATTATCATCATCTTCACAATAGTGTAATTCTCTTCGCTTCGTCTGTAATATGTTTATTCACAGATGTGGTGGATGGTTTTGTTAGGAAGTTAATTACAGCATGTCAAACGAGCGACCTACTTTTCACTAGCATGGGTGAATATATAAAAATCACATTCATCAAAGAACACTGCACTTCACCAGGGTACATGTGTTTAGGGGGGTTGTGTTCCACTTCAGAGTTCCAGGACATTGGAGTAAAGAAATACGATTATCGAAGGTAAATTTTAGTATCCAATTTTTGTCTATTTTAGGGACAGTTTTGGATTTTTTTTTAATTTTTTTTATTATATTTGTATATAAGTGCGCATTTGACCTCCTTTTCACCTAATGGAAAATGACGATGAAGTCGACGATGGAGCATCCACATCTAAATAATGCCTATGCTATTGCGTTTAGGGAACAAGTCTGCGGGCAGGGAATTCCACTCCATAACCGTTCGTCATATAAATACCACACCATAGGAGTGGAACCTCCGATGGAAAGCGTTACATTTGCATTAAGACCGTTAAGTTGCATCGATGCAACTGCCTATAAATCGCAAGTGTCGCGATGCAACTGCGTGTTTCACGAACGCGCGTTTATATCGCTGTCAAAATCACCATGTGTAACCCTTTTACATCTTTAGTATCTTTTTTATATTTATACCAAAAACTTTAATACACATGCATGAGTGAAGACAGTACTTTCTATAAAATTAAGCCGAATCGTATATTGTTGTTTCCCCAGTGGACATTGCAGTACCAACCGCAGCTGGTGGAATCTTTACCTAATCAGGACAAATGTTTGTTGCTGCATCCAGACTATACGTACAAGCAGATATTTATAACGAGTTCGTAAAAAGAGCCGTCAAGCACGCGAAGAAGGTTAAGGTTGGAGATACCTCTAAACCAGATACCACACAGGGACCACAGGTATTTAGATTTAAAGATTTTTTGATATTTTATTAGACGATCGTCAAAACCCTCAGAAATGTTTAATCTCTTTCAGACGGGTGAAGCCACAATGAATAAAATCCTGGAATACATTGCTTTGTCAAAAAACGTGGCTCTAAGCTAATGACTGGTGGCAACCGCATCGGCAATACTGGTTATTACGTCGAGCCAACAGTCTTCGCAGATGTCAAGGATGATATGACCATTGCGAGAGAAGAACCTAGAACCAGGTACCTAGAACACAACAAAACTCCTTTTTTTTTTAAATTTATTAAGGCTTTGGCAAAGCCATCAGCCTAAACATGAAGTTTAATTGTTTCTGTACATATGGCCGCCACAAAGAGGACAGACAATTTGAGGCGGCGTGCTTCGATTGACTCGGGATTTCTTAGAACGGGCCGATACGGGTATTTTAGTTCGAGATTCGTATAATTTCGCGATTTAATCTTCGATTAAGGTAAAATAGCACTATCGCATTCCACTTTAAACTAGATTTCACAAAATAATTGAAAGTCAAAATAAAAACGACACTTTTCCCTCCAAAATGCCCAGAGCGAATCACCAACAAAACTCCTTCAATATCAGATCCAAGTAGATATATTTGTATAGTCAACTGAACTTTGCTGTCGGTTACATTGGACCTAATGAACTTCAATAACTTTCGTGAGATAAACATGTCTAGAGTTTGGTGCCGAAAAAATTACCAATCTACACTTATTTAATATCTATGTGTTTTATTTTACTGGTATATTTGCGGTAGATTATTCTCTATGTTTGTAATAACATGGGACATCTCCTTAGAGGATGGAAAAAATAAAGGAAATAGTCTAAGGACATCTCACCCTAGAGAATGGAAATCTCACACTCTTTTTTTTAAATTCCATGTTGGTACTGTATCAAAGACTCTATGCTATTGGCCTACATTTTGTCTTTGACAGTATTGAATTGTGAGTGTCTTGGGAGTAGGTACGTGTGAGAGAAGTGGTTACTGACAATACTAAAATATTTATTACTTCTACACATTGACTTACAAATAAATGGACGACGGGTCTAATACAAAAACCACGAAAAAAATGTCCCAAGTCAACCTATTCGAAATTTAAATTGTAATGTCATCGCAGTATCGCGCTGTCAGTAGAACAAATGAAGACTAAAGCGGAGTGTAGCGCTCTGTATACGATTTTAGCGCCTTACAAGTGCGGACACTTTTTAGCGCGGACCCGACGTCCATATAATTGTAAGTCAATGCTTCTACATATATTAAATTGTATTGTTATTTTTTCTTTGGGAGAATGTGTGAGAGAAGTGTTTACGGAGAATGGTTGTACGGTTACGGAGAATACTTGTACTTAATACTATATACTTTTTCATTATTTCTTTTTTTTTATTATTATTTTTTTCTTATCATTATCAGCTAATTATCATGAAAATTATCAGATAAATATTATGAGTAATTATCAAAGAAAATAAATTACTTGATAATTTCGAATTGTGCTATTTTGCTTTTGCAGGGCACTTCCTTACACACAAAAATTTTGACAAATCTGATAATTTCGAATTGTTTACAACTGTTTTGTGATAGGATAGTTAGTATGTAATCTTTACAGGTTTTATTTTTTTAGCTGCGTGAGTTGAGGTTCTCTTCTTTTCAATGCTTTGTCATCAATGATTACAGGGTCAATGGCTACGTGATTTTGGGACCGCAGGCACCGTTCGGTGGTTTCAAAGATTCTGAAATTGGACGTGAAAAGTAAGTTTCACTTACACGATTGGCAGACTATTACTCAGTTAGTCAGCATGTAAAAATTCTTGGGGTTAAGACGTTGACATTGAAGAATTATGTCTCATAACTATAAGATATGATGGGTATCTATAAAGTTTATCAAACAATGCGGAATTTGTAAGCAACCAATAGTATTTCGCTGTTATTTCTTGTTGATCTTTCTTCTTCTGATTCTTTCTAGGCAAAACTAAAACACATCTCTTCTCTACTCCGCTTTGTATATTATATTTGTTGGATAATGGACCTTAAGTAGGTTTCAAGTTTTTGCGATCTTTTTTGACAGTGGTAAAGACGGATTTGAAGAATACTTGGAAGTGAAAACTGTAGCAATCTCACTGCTGAAGAAGTTCTAAGGGTGAATCTCAAATTTGTTTTGTTCTATTGTGTTTTCTTTTATATCGTCGGTGTTTAGTAGACAGGGCGATGCTTCTCTGAAAAGTTAAAAAGAAAAAAGAGTTAAAATTAAATTTTGGTTTTAATTACGCTTAAGTTTTAAAATTGAATTTAAAACAAGACGTAAATATTTTAAAACAGTTGTGAAAATAAAATATGCTCCCTTGAATTATTTTTCGCAATGGCGCTTAGGCTCCTTTTTACAAAACACCGACGATATAACTAATTAATGTTGTTTCTGACTATAAAACTGCTTTAACTTCACATTAGTCGTTGTAACTAAACATTTGCATGCTATTAAACATTTGCGAAACAAGTTTGTACTGGCACTTTATTTCTGTCACATCTTCTGATAAACAATGTTTTAAATGAATAAACGAATTGTTCTTATTTTTATTATTATATTTATATATTCATTCTTGTAATAATGATAAATAACTATAAAACAATACTTTTGCAAAACTTTACAAGTTATTATTTCGGAGATATTGATTGCTATTAATTTTTGTGCAGGCGTTTAGAAATTCGTAGTTTAATCAATAAAAAAAGGTTCTCAAAAGCTATTATTCTACAGTAGTTAAATATATTGTAGAGGATTGTTGTAAAGTTAAGTTGCAATATCTAAGCCACACATCAACAGTCAACGGTGTATGTTTCGCTACGCTAGAAATAAACAATCACATTTACAAGCAACGTCCTTTTCTCGTTATTGACGACCAATGCGCGGACGTCATTATTGGTCACGGCATACTAAGGAACCATTCAAAGCTCGAATTCCAATTCGGAGGATCTAGACAGCCCTTGCATATTTGCGTGATGGAAGCTTCCGTACCACCAGCTTCTATTTTCACTAACTTATCTGCAGATATTACTCCTATTGCTATCAAGTCCAGGCGCCATAACAATGACGATGAAGAATTTATTCAAACAGAAATATCGAAGCTTTCAAATGATGGAATTATCGAACAGAGTGTATCTCCGTGACACGCCCAGGTACTTGTTGCTGGTGGAGGAGCCCATCGAAAGAGAATGGTCATCGACTACTCCAGAACAATCAATAAGTTTACATATCTAGATGCATATCCATTACCTAATATTGAGTCGATAGTCTCGAAAGTGGCTAAATACAATCATTTTAGCCAGATCGATTTAAAGAGCGCTTACCATCAGATCCCTATCCTAGATCGAGAAAAAAAATACACAGCATTTGAAGCCTGTGGTAAGCTGTGACAATTCAAACGTATTCCCTTTGGTGTCACTAACGGAGTCGCCGCCTTCCAACGTTCTCTTGAACATATTATCGAAAAAGAACAGTTACGTGGGACCTTCTCTTATCTCGATGACGTTACCGTTTGCGGTAAAAATAAGGAAGAACACGACGAGAATTTAAAGAAATTCATGTCTGCTGCAAAAAAGTACAAGCTCACATTATACGAACAAAAGTGTAATTTCAGCAAAAATTCTATTAGCCTACTAGGATACGCGGTCAAGAATAATGTTATCGAGCCTGATAAGGACCGCCTTGATCCGCTTATAAAACTACCGTTACCGCGTAACACTGCTGAACTCAAGAGAGCCCTTGGGCTATTTGCTCATTACGCCAAATGGGTCCACAATTTTTCTGCGAAAATTCAACCGTTAATCAACAACAGCCAGTTCCCTTTAAACGAAAACGGCCAGCGTAGTTTTAAACTTCTGAAATCAGAAATCGAGAAGGCAGCATTGGTTGCTATTGACGACAAAGAAACCTTGACGGTAGAGACTGACGCTTCTGAATTCGCTGTAGCTGCAACATTATCTCAAAAGGGTCGCCCAGTTGCATTCTTTTCAAGAACTTTGTCAGACAGCGAACGTAAACACGCTGCCGTAGAAAAAGAAGCATGTGCAATCGTCGAAAGCATTAGAAAATGGCGTCATTACCTCATTCACAGACATTTTCTCCTCATCACTGATCAGAAATCCGTAAGTTTTATTTTTAATCAGAACCATGCGAGCAAAATTAAAAACGATAAAATTGAAAGGTGGAGGCTGGAACTGTCGTGTTACAAGTACGATATTGTTTACAGACCAAGAAATCAGAATACTGCTGCCGACGCTCTATCTCGAGTTTCTGCGTTTATGAGTAACAGTAAATTGTACGAGCTTCACGACGTTCTTTCTCATCCTGGGATTACTAGAATGTATCATTGCATTAAGTTGAAGAATCTCCCTTACTCTATAAATGATATTAAACAGATGACTGCTTCTTGTCGCGTATGTGCGGAAATCAAACCACGCTTTGCTAAAGCAAAAGGGACTCTAATTAAAGCCTTATCGCCATTCGAGAGGCTAAACATAGATTTTAAAGTGCCAATAACAAATATATACTTACGATAATCGATGAATACTCGCGATATCCATTCGCGTATGCATTCCCAGACACATCTTCTGCAACTGTAATTAAGTGTCTAAGGGATATTTATTATGAATATAGTCAGCCTTTATATATACACAGCGACAGAGGATCATCATTTATGTCGGAAGAGATTCAAACATTTCTCAAAAATTGCAATATCGCTACGTCTCGTACAACACCTTACAATCCTCAGGGCAACGGGCAAGTAGAAAAATTTAACGGAACTCTCTGGCGGACTATACCACTGTCTCTGAGATCTAAAATCCTACCCATAGAGAACTGGGAACAATCCCTGAAACCTTCACTCCACTGCGTGCGGTCACTTCTATGCACTTCGATAAATGCAACGCCACACGAAAAGCTTTTTAATTTCCCGCGAAGAACACCGGTTGGTGAATCGCTTCCAACCTGGCTTGTTCCGGGACCCATTCTATTGAAGAAATTTATTCGGTCGAAAAATGACCCTTACGTCGAAGAAGTTGAGCTGCTCCACAGTAATCCAAGCTACTCCTATGTACGTCGGCGTAATGGCCAAGAATCTACAGTGTCCAACAGACACTTAGCGCCGCTTCTTATATCTGAAGAAGATTCACTCTCTGATAGTACGAAGAAGACGTCTATGGAACTCTCCTGCAAGACGTTCGGCCTCCGGATGCTCTTCGGAGATCTACGAGGTCTAGGAGAATTCCACGACGCCTCAATGACTACATACTCGGCGAAGAAACCATAGAGGGGGAGAATGACATATAATCTCCTTTGTGCTTCCTAAATTATCAGTATATGTTGTCTGTGATCGTTGAAGTGTATCTGTCATACAAATATTTTTAAATGTATCTATTGTACGTGTGCTCGTTTCTAGTTAATTAAATTGATACATGGAAACGAAATACCAATAGAAACTTGGCTTAGAGACGCCAGATTAATAGTATGCTTATACGGACGTTGCTGTAACTTCATCATCCGAGCTATGCTTCTATCAATAAAGCTCACTGAACTTCCTGTGTCAATTAACGCATCGACACAGGTGTTATTAATAGTAATTGCTATTGTGGCTTTTTCTAGGCTTGACGGAGATGCCGCAGAGTATAAAGTGTTGACTGTTTCGTGAGAACATGGACACGGTGAGAACTCGACTGGAGCGACGGGCTTGGGATGGCGTTACTTGTAGAAGGATTGCCACGGGAACGACAGACAGAAGCGAAGTGACCCTTCTTAGTACACATTTGACAGT